TCCTCTCTCCTTCCCACCCGGGCTAGGGCGGCGGCGGCGGCAGCGGGGGCGGCAGAGACCATCACGGGAGGAGGCAGCTGCGGCGGGGCCGGTAATGGGCCTGGGGGTGCGGGGCGGAGGGTGCCGCCTCGTCCTTTCTCGGGATCGGCCCTCGGGCGGCTGTGGAGGAGTGGTCAACCCAGAGCTGCGCGGATGGAGGGGTCAGAAATGAGGGAGGCTCGGACTGGAGCGGTCGGGGGGCGGGGAGCCAGGGCGCCGCTGGGAAGGGAAAGAGTCGGGAGAGGCGTGGGAGCTAGGGGCACGGAGGACGCGGGCCCGAACTGCGGGGGCAGCTCGGGGGAGACCGATGGGCGGCTTGGAAGCTGGCAGGATTGCGGATGAGGGTTGAGTTCGGAATGGAGTGGAGATGATGCAGGATGGAGGGAAGTGAAGGAAGGGGAGGGCGAATAGAGGAAAATGTGGGAGGAGTGGTTGGGAATTTGTGAGTAGCAGGCAGGAAGGGATGAGGAAGGCTGGGCAGGGGCTGCAGACGATTGGAATGAGCGGGAAGGTTAGCAGGAATCAGAGAAATGGGTTGGGAGCTGAAGGGTTCAGCAGGGGTGTCCATTAAAGGGAACTGATGCCTTGACATGCCCTTTCAGCTCAGGTTCCTGATGTCTCCCATTTTTCTGGCGTTGTGGGGGAAAACGAAAGCATCACTTGCCCTGGTTGCTAGCTCGATCGTTTTTTCACAGGCCCAAACACGCAGCTGACTGCCATCCATCCCTTTTAGTGCCATGGTCTTGATTTATTTTTTTTTTTGAAGGGGTTAGAGTGGCAGCGTGACACGCAAACCGTTCTTCAATATGAAATGTTGGAAGTTATCTCCGAGAGACACAGTGTCCTCTTGTCCTGCAGTTTTCAGTTTAAGGGAAACCCATAGTTGATTCACGTTTTCATTTTCTTCACTGACTTTACATCTTGCTAATTTCCAAAGCCAGGAGGATGTTGGTGTGTGCCAGAGTTATCAATGACTGGATATCCTTGAGGGTTAGTGGTTCCTGCAAAATCACCTTCCTCATCTCCCACAAAGATCTTGTGTCCTCCATACGATGGTAGTTTAGACATGGGAAGCCAAATTCTAACCTTGTGTCAGTGAATGGGGGGGTGGGGAGGGTTGGAGGGACGCTTCCTTAAAATACCTAGTTTAAACAGTATGTTTGCACTTAAGCACTTTATATGTTCATAATCCTGGTAATCACAAGGACACATGGATCCAAGGAATTGATAGTATTTGAGAATCAGCTGCAATATCTTGTAAAAGGAGAAACAGGGTCGGTCGTCTTATTCAGGTTTATCCTAACAATTAGCAGCAAGCCTTCCTTCCTCTAACCCAGCTATGGAAGATAACCCTGATGATCTTACCAGAGATTTTTGTCTCTTGACCTTTAGTAGAAGGTTGGGTTCCAGTGGAGTGGGGAGGCTTTCTGCCATGAGATATGCCTTGTCTCGTCATTTTATACTCATTTAAGAGAGAGCCCTTTGTTACCTAAACTTGGCGAATACACTCTGAACCCACAAAATTATTTCTGGACAGTCCCTCTTTTGCTAGTCTCACATAAGCTGTTTTGGTTTTGGGGGGAGTGATAGGAATCCTACAGACGTGAAAAGGCTTAGATCTAGTACTAAAATGCACATATGCTGTAGATCTTTATTTGGTGCTAGCCTAATATCTTCTATATACTCTGGATATGAGTTATTTCATATACCTTTGAGAAATACTCAGACACACTTGAGAAAAGACCATAAGGCAGAAGTATGTAGCCAGAAAGTATCAGCTGACCTTTCATTTCACTGTCATTAAAAAGCTTTTATAGAGGTTTGCATTGTTTTCTCCAAAAGCATTTGTTGTTTGAGTTGGTCATTTTGACAGTTAACTGTCAGTTATGACCTGCATTTCCAGTCTCACCTTCATTATTTCTGTCTGGGTTTAAGTGCTTGGAGTGTAACTTACAAGTGTTTCTCTTATACACAGGCATTGATCCTTTGCCAATGAATGGTTGAGAGAGGTGGGCATGACTGATTTCTAATTGTGGTTTGAAAAGAGGTTGATTTGATGAACTGGAAAGTGTGGAACCTATTCTAGTTGCTTCTGTTGCAAAGAAAGGTCTCTTCAGGCCACTGTGGGAAGTGGATGGGAGGTTTGTTCTTGATGCCCAGTGAGTATCTTTGCCTGACAAGTCGAGTTCACACCAGAGTTGGGTAAGGAAGGCTGGGTTGAAATTTAAATTTCTATTGGTTGTCAGGACAGAGTTGATGGATTTTGTGTGTACGTATATGTATATGTATATGTATATGTATATGTATATGTATATGTATATGTATATATGTGTGTGTGTGTGTATACAAATACATGTATTTGTATATATAAATATATGTATAAAATGGAGTGAAAAAGTGACGCAAACAGATCCTGGGTAGCGTTAGGAGAGCTAAATCAGTACGCACATTATTTACACATAGAGCCGTAGGTTCAGATTAGTCTCCGGCGTTTTAAGGAAAATATCTTTCTCCTAGGTTTCACATCCTTTCTTTCTTTTCTTTCCCCCCCTCTTTCTTACCTGCCTCTTACGACTGCCCAGAAGCCACTCTTCCAGAAGTGGAAGTGGGGAAGACCTAGAAAAAGGGGCGAAGGAGAATGGAACACGTAGCCAGCAGTCCTCGCTGCACCAGAGGAAGTGTTACCCCTGAGGGCAGCTGGGTTAAGACAGCGAGAATTTTAATAATAAAGATGATTTCGGACCAAACCCAAACTCATGCAGGGCATAAAGAGAAATATTCAAAGGGAGCCCACAATACTGGAAGCAAAGGGACACTGGAGGAAAGACCAGGAGCGCACAGTTTGCTTCCGGTCAGAGATCCCCTCATGTTTCCAGGCTGAGGAAAAGGCCACCTTCCCAGTAGCAACACTAAAGATACCAGTTAAAACTGAGGCTGGACTGAGGCCCTTTCTCAAAAGAGCAGACTTTCAGCTCAGTCTGAGTTTTTATGTGGTTGATAAGATTTTTAAGTGGGGAAGAAAAAACTCGGTTCAGTGGTCAACGGTATTCTTTCTCTCTCTCTTTTTTTTAAACATCACCCACATAAATTCTCAGTCGGAAAGATTACCTCCCAATGTCGAATGCAAGGAAGAAATTTGTTAGTTAATAGGTATCTTTAAACCTAGCTGAAATCGTAGCCCATTAAAGAGTCCCTGGCGCTCTCCATTCTTAATATGTGCGAGGAACGTGACCTCTGATGGTGAGATCAGTAGCCCGAAGAACAGAATCGATACTTTGGGCTCCTTTTTGAATTTCATTACAATTCTTATCAAGCACTTGGTTATTTTTTTTTCCTCCTGGCCAAGTGTATTTCAGGAATGTGCTTGTCTAGACCTATGATGGCTGAGGTTTCCTAGGTACATCTTGTGACTTGAATACAGAATTTTGATGAGATCTGCATAGAGAGATCAGGAAATCTCTTCGCTAAAGTACTCATTAGGTCTGGTTGACTAAGTAGAGCTGATCCAGGAGCAGGCAAATTGCTTCCGAGAGACTCAGTCCAGAAAAACAGCTCTGTAGCAGACAGCTTTTGACACCACAGTATATTCTGGGTAGCTGCTCTGCAGTAATGCAGCCCTGTCTTTCTGGGCAGTGTTGTTATTCCTGCTGCATAATTAGCAACTAGTGAGATCATAGTCTGGGGAGATTCTGGCATTACTGAGGCAAAGCAGGGAGGCTTCGTATCGTCACATGTGGCTCCGGCTCTGACAGCATTTCTGTTTCGAGCAGATTCATATTCTTGGGAACTTAGGTCCAAAGATGGAGAAGGAGAGAGATCTGTACCTGGGAAGTGCACTATCCCTCGTGTGGCACGTTGAAAACACTGCCTGCCGTATTGACTTTACCAGAGTCAATTGTCACTTCTCTTGCTATTTGTTTTCCCCTCGCTGGTTTCTTTACAGGGGGCTAAGATTGTAAAGCTAAGTTTTCCTCGCACAGGGGATGATGACAGACCGGCCGAGCCCTATTTTATGGAGCTATATGAGATCGGAAAAGCTTCTGGGTTTCGAAGGCAGTGCAGATTCTAATCTTCAGTCCATTCTTTACCACCACATTTGATCTTTGTAGGAGGCCGGTGAGAATCTTCACCCTTGTGAAGATCTAGGTAAAGTGTTTCCCTGGCTTCTGATATACTGTGAAATTTGGGGCCGAGAGCAGTGTTTCCCAGTGTGCGATCCAAGGCTCATGTGCCCCCCGAGATTCTTCCATAATCGGGTGTGTGGAACACTGCACTAGCTGTGGGCTCTCACGCTTCACCGTGCTCGTTGGCATAGTCAAGGCCTTCAAGCCATCCTCTCATAGCGCTTTTCTAAACTGTTTGGACACGGCAGTCCTATTTCCACGTAAGGCTATTAATATCCATGGAACTAGTTTATTTAATATACACACTTTGGGAAACGCCAGGCCAAATTTTCCCTAGGAGAAATAATTGGCTCTCGTTTAGGTTTAGGCGCAGCCTAATTCCGCCTTTGATCCCCAGTCCCTCCTCCTGGCCCCTTGGGAGAGCTCTCCCGTGTGAGCACAAGAGCAGCTACCGTTATCCCCGGGCTAGTGAAACCCAGAGCCCAGCTGGCGTGGAACCAAAGGCCTTCACTCTGCTGGGAAGGGTGCTGCTGTTACTCATCTCATTATTCTAAGAGTGACTGGGACTGAAGGGAAACATAAGTAGGAGAATGTTGGCCAGAATAGGTAGAGAAATGACCTAGTCGCAAGAGACCAGACATCAGTGCTAGCTCAGGGACTTTCTTTCTTCATTTGGAGAGCCGCGTGTATAGACTTGGGAGGGAGGTCTGTCTCAGGACAGGAGTGCTGATTCCTCTTTTCCCCTGGGCAGAATCCTAATGCGCCCGGCTAACTGGTGGTGAGCAGGGGCTTTGGGGCCAACGCCGTGGGCTCCCCAAGGAAACCCCTTTGAAACCAATGGATGCATTCACGGGCTCGGGTCTCAAGAGGAAGTTTGATGATGTGGATGTGGGCTCATCAGTTTCCAACTCCGATGATGAGATCTCCAGCAGTGACAGTGCTGACAGCTGTGACAGTCTCAATCCTCCTACAACTGCCAGCTTCACGCGTGAGTGAGCCCCTCTACCCCCCACCTGCACCCACAGCCCCCCAAGCATCAGAGCCCATTGCAGCCCTTGCGACTGCTTCTTCTGTCCAGCTTGGGGATTTTCCCTTAACCATAATCTTCCTACTCTTAGCCCAACCTCGCTCTTTGGAGGACTTCACTGCTCTAATATCATAGACTTAGGTCTGACTTCCTCTAGCCGATTTTCCTTATGCCATGTTTTACAGGTTCCCAGGAACCTATGGGCTGAGTTAAATTGAAGAAGTCCAGGATACTACCCTTGCCCACCCGAGTTCCACACAATTGTAGCACTAGTAGGACATAAATGCTTACTGCCTGGACAACTGGGGAAACTCCAGATTTCTTCTTCTTTTTTTTTTTAATTGTTTAAAATGTTTGTTTTTGAGAGAGAGAGAGAGAGAGAGAGAGA